CGAAGGGCAGCGAGGGGCCACGGAGGGGTGCAACGGGGCCACGAAGTTCAGCGAGGGGGCCACGAAGGGCTGCAACGGGGCCACGAAGGGCATGCATATAGGGCCACGAAGGGCAGCGAGGGGGCCACGAAGGGCAGCGAGGGGGTCACGAAGGGCAGCGAAGGGGCCACAAAGGGCAGCGATTTCCCGATTCCAAGTAAGCTGTGAGGGAGTCCTAAGCGTGAGCGCGGCTCATGAGTGCCTGAGTGTCGGGAGCGCGGTGCTAAATTGCGGGGGATCTCAACACAAGAGCGTGATTCTTGAATAAATTACCAGCAGGTCTCCAGCGAGAGCGCGACTCCAAAACGCCGAGAGAGCGATCCCTCAAGAAAGTGTAAGGAAGTCCCAGGCGAGAGCGCGACTCCTGAGTAAAATGCGAGGAAGTCTGAGGCGGGAGCGCAGGGGTCCTGGCTAAATTGTGAGGAAGTTACAAGCGGGAGCCGTTGTTGCTGTAGTCCGGGAGCCAACAACGCAATTGGAGCCGAGTGCTTTTCCGTGATACAAAATAGGGTGCAAACTCCGGAGGGAGCACTTCAATTGAAAATTATCCTGGCGAAAGACCCAACCATAAGCAATTGTTGGTAACGCGTTGTGGGTGCCGCTTTCGGTGGGGCTCCATATGGGGCCACGAAGCGCTGCCTTGGATAGGGGGAACCGCATGCGGACTGCGCCACCGGGGCGGGCCTTCGGTGGAGCTCCCTATGGGGCTACGAAACGCTGCCCTGGGTGGGGGAACCGCATGCGAACTGCGCCACTGGGGCCTTCGGTGGAGCTCCCTATGGTGCCACGAAACGCTGCCCTGGGTGGGGGAAGCGCATGCGAACTGCGCCACGGGGGCTTTCGGTGGAGCTCCCCATGGGGCCACGAAGCGCTGCCCTGGGTGGGGGAACCGCATGCGAGGGCAGCCACTGGGGCCTCCGGTGGAGCTCCCTATGGGGCCACGAAACGCTGCCCTGGGTGGGGGAACCGCATGCGAGAGCAGCCACTGGGGCCTTCGGTGGAGCTCCCTATGGGGCCACGAAGCGCTGCCCTGGGTGGGGGAACCGCATGCGAACACCCCCACTGGGGCCTTCGGTGGAGCTCCCTATGGGGCCACGAAACGCTGCCCTGGGTGGGGGAACCGCATGCGAACTGCGCCACTGGGGCCTTCGGTGGAGCTCCCTATGGGGCCACGAAACGCTGCCCTGGGTGGGGGAAGCGCATGCGAACTGCGCCACGGGGGCTTTCGGTGGAGCTCCCCATGGGGCCACGAAACGCTGCCCTGGGTAAGGGAACCGCATGCGAACACCCCCACTGGGGCCTTCGGTGGAGCTCCCTATGGGGCCACGAAACGCTGCCCTGGGTGGGGGAACCGCATGCGAACACCCCCACTGGGGCCTTCGGTGGAGCTCCCTATGGGGCCACGAAACGCTGCCCTGGGTGGGGGAACCGCATGCGAACACCCCCACTGGGGCCTTCGGTGGAGCTCCCTATGGGGCCACGAAACGCTGCCCTGGGTGGGGGAACCGCATGCGAACACCCCCACTGGGGCCTTCGGTGGAGCTCCCTATGGGGCCACGAAACGCTGCCCTGGGTGGGGGAACCGCATGCGAACACCCCCACTGGGGCCTTCGGTGGAGCTCCCTATGGGGCTACGAAACGCTGCCCTGGGTGGGGGAACCGCATGCGAACACCCCCACTGGGGCCTTCGGTGGAGCTCCCTATGGGGCCACGAAACGCTGCCCTGGGTGGGGGAACCGCATGCGAACACCCCCACTGGGGCCTTCGGTGGAGCTCCCTATGGGGCCACGAAACGCTGCCCTGGGTGGGGGAACCGCATGTGGACACCCCCACTGGGGCCTTCGGTGGAGCTCCCTATGGGGCCACGAAACGCTGCCCTGGGTGGGGGAACCGCATGCGAACACCCCCACTGGGGCCTTCGGTGGAGCTCCCTATGGGGCCACGAAACGCTGCCCTGGGTGGGGGAACCGCATGCGAACACCCCCACTGGGGCCTTCGGTGGAGCTCCCTATGGGGCCACGAAACGCTGCCCTGGGTGGGGGAACCGCATGCGAACACCCCCACTGGGGCCTTCGGTGGAGCTCCCTATGGGGCCACGAAACGCTGCCCTGGGTGGGGGAACCGCATGCGAACACCCCCACTGGGGCCTTCGGTGGAGCTCCCTATGGGGCTACGAAACGCTGCCCTGGGTGGGGGAACCGCATGCGAACACCCCCACTGGGGCCTTCGGTGGAGCTCCCTATGGGGCCACGAAACGCTGCCCTGGGTGGGGGAACCGCATGCGAACACCCCCACTGGGGCCTTCGGTGGAGCTCCCTATGGGGCCACGAAACGCTGCCCTGGGTGGGGGAACCGCATGTGGACACCCCCACTGGGGCCTTCGGTGGAGCTCCCTATGGGGCCACGAAACGCTGCCCTGGGTGGGGGAACCGCATGCGAACACCCCCACTGGGGCCTTCGG